AGTAATAAATTTCTCCATGTAAAATAAATATGGGCCAATTCTCAGTGTTGAGCAAGAAACAATCGTCGGAAACGTGAATTTAGCAAGCAATCGTCACTATAATCATGGTGCTATTGTAAGGATTTATATGGTATAAACAAGGTGCTGTTGCTTCTAAACGAACATGGGGACCCCTCATTTTTATTTCCAAATTTAAGTTCCTACAATATAAACAGTCAATAGGCAAAGTTTGACAGAAATCTCAGTGCAGGTTCTATTTCAGTGGAATGACCTTAAGCTAACCCAGGATTGGCGAGAATTTTGATTTGAGTTTTGCAACTTTTCGGTGAGGTTTTCTGTTTACACTGTTTGTCCTTCTGTTTTGAGCTTGACTAAGCTCAAACTACACTAAACGTAAGCAGTAAAAAACATTTTTATACAAGAAAAATTAATACTTCAGTTAACTTTTAATTCTGGGTTAGTGTTAACCAGCTTTCGAAAACCTCGGCCCACTGGATATTGAATTATTCAGCCTACAACCAGCCCCAGGCTTTTAAATGGGTACCAGCACATTTTGAGGGCAACCTGGCGACACACTGGAGGAAAACCAGTAACTGACGGCCCTACATCCCTTCCAGGGGGGGGGGGGGGGGGGGGGGAGGGTTGCAGTACTCCCAGCTGCTCATTTGTAAAGCTTATAATCATTTCTAATATGTGCAAAAGTTTGAAAATTTGTGAAACCTCACCCACAAGTCTCTTCTTTTGTTGTAAAAATTAGCGAATTTATAATTTCTTCGCTGTGTTAAAGCTTAATTCTAAATCGCTTGGGAGCTACATGCAAGCTTAAGTTAAGCTTCAATTGTATGCTCATATCTCTGTAAATTTATCAGCTTTATGTTTTGGGCCATAACAATAACATAACATAATCGAGGCGACGTCTTTTTGTTGATACCTTCAGACTTGCCAAAGCTTAATTAAAGCGGAAATCATTCGATTTAAAGGTTGGTAAATTTTACGACTTTAACAAAACTTTAAAAACTTTTTCTCGCATCGATCGATCGGTGGATTGAAGCAACTATCAAATCAGTCCATTTACTACCATCACAATACCTTTTCCAATGATCCCAGAACAGCCATCTTTGTCGCAAAATTCTGGAGATGAACATGAAGTGAAGTACCACAGCGAAACAAAAGACCACAGCATAAACAAACGCCCGGCGGGAAAATATTTTACACTGTGAGCAGTCAACAACATGGTTGCCTGTGAAGCGTCAAACTTGACAAATTCTTTGGAACGGTAGTGACCAAAATATTGTGTTCACTATCTTAAAGATGCTTCAACGTATAGTAAGTCATGAATAATCAGCTGATTCCTTGCGACCATCTGGTCTTTTTTCATCTCGATCGCAAATTTCCATAAAAGCTTTTCTCCCACACGATCTTTCCTGCGCATAACGGAAGTTGCGTGACTACATAAGGAGAATCCACTCTTGTATCAACACGTCACTAATAACCTTATGTCTGTTTTTCTGCGATTAACCGAAAAAAAAAAATGGCTATTTGCATAATTAATTGCTGATCTAAAACGAGCTCTGAATTATCCAGAAAATACTCTGATTTCTTTTACTTCAAATATCGATAAAATTTAAACTCGCCGGGGTTTCGGGCGTTTGTTAAAAAATCGTCTATTTCTTAGATCTTGTCAGAACAATAAAAAAAAAATCCCTTGCATTTTACGCTTGGCAATTAAAGTTTATGCCACAAAAATCGTTATCTTCCCTGACAGTTTCTTAGGAGACATAAAACATAAATTAGCACTGATAATAAGTCTTTGTTTGTTTCCAAGGAAAAATACGACAGGTATAATAGTGTTCCTTAGCAAATTAGCAACTATCAACTGATTTCACAGGATATTTGCTCTCCTATTAAAGTTTCATAACTTTAATTTTATTTTTGACTTAAAATTATTCTTCAAGCCCAACAAAATTTAACTTGCAAGTGAAGTATATGCATTCTCACTTGGAAAGCTTGTTATCTGATTCAAACTAATAACTAAAACAGTAGCATAATATTATTTATGAAAAATACATTTTTTCTTATTCTTTTTGCAAAGAAAAAAAATTAAAAAAACGTACTGTTTGTATAAATTTACTGTTTTTAGGATTCTATCCTTGATGTTGACTTCACTCCACAAATCAGCTTCAGATACCATACAAATGATGGTCGGAAAATTTTTGTCTTCGACAAGATTTTAAAAACAAAGCACCTTGGTCTATTTTTAGAATATTTAAATGTGGACTTGGGCTCTTGGCAGTTCAGGCTCTATGAACCATATGATGGCGGCATTGAAGAGCCAATGGATAATATTCCATGGATTAATCCAGTAGATTGCCTAGAATTTTCCGGAACTCTAGTTGGAAGAACAGTTCAAAAAGCAGTTATGGATGCTGCTGGAACTGAAGATATTTACTATCCATACAAAGTAAGAGGAAAAATCATGCGACGAGGAGACTTCACTAAACTGCACACTGATGCTAACAGAACAGATGATGAATTTTCTGCCTTGATGTTCCTGAATCCAACATGGAGAAAGAACGATTATGGTGAACTATATCTGTAAGTTATAATTGTCTAAATCCTGTCCTTTTCCATTCAGTTTAACGTACATGTATGGTATCTGTAGCGGCCAATAGGCATGGCTTGGAATAAGTGCCATCTGGTCGTCCGGTCCTCGCGGCAAGTAGATTTTCTTGCCGGGTGAGTAACTTTACATTCCCCTTTGCCCAATGGGCAAGGGTTCAGGTACGTTGTTGGTCAACTAAATCAATAAAGGGCAAGCTGGAGTTCCATTTCTTTTTTCGAGCCCTGATGGGGCTCAGCGCCTCTCCCTAGAAATTGCCAGAACTATTAAAAGTACAAGCAACACTATAATATTGAAGTAAACGGTTACCTTTAAATTACTTCATTGTAATTGCCTTTAAACAGAAAGTTCTGTTGACAATTATACCAGCATGATCATCCGTTCTTTTTTGTGGGTTTTCATGTGCTCACTGCTGACCACATGATGAATCTACAAAATTAGTATTTGTATATGGAAAAAATCCCGCAATGTATATGTAGAGAAAAATGTAATCCTTGAGCGATCAAAATTTCTTTCTCCCATTCATTCACGTAATGGTATCCTGTATACAGAGCTACTAAAACTTGTGTTTACAAATGATCGCTATGTGCTCAAATTAAGTCTCTGTTTCAGCTACATTACTTGTGATATTACACCCTCCTCAAAGAGGGACATATATTTTGAACCTTTTGTACTGCTGCGTAACCTTTCCAATTTTCTGTAACATCAAAGTGCCCCTTACCTGTTTTTGAGTGATCGCCAGTCAAAATCCTGCTGGCAATCACAAATTTCTTAGCCAACTAATTTAGGTGTCATCTGAATGCTTAGTGACAACCCTGTTAGGTAACAAAAAGGTAAAGTCTGTATACGAGTCAAGCACACCATCAGGCTGGAGCTTATCCTGGTTTCTATGGCATGAAGCCACTTGGAGTATTTGTGTACTCCCCCCCTCGATGGGATGCTCTTCCGTCGCAGGGTTACCCCCAGCATGAAATTCACCGGTACCCATTTATACACCTGGGTGCATGGAGAGAGGCACTGTGACAGTAAAATGTCTTGCCCAAGAACACAACATAATGACCGCAGCCAGGGCGCAAACACAGACTGCTCAATCTGGAGTTGAGGGCACTAACCATGAGGCCACTGCACCTCCAAATCTGTTAGAGTGATGTAATATTGCTGAGTTTTGTGTCTGAAATTTGAAATTTTGTTATGTGTTTTTTTTGAAATTCTATTTGTGTCTGGCTTATCAAGTTGCATTCTTTCCCCAGGTATGATGAAGATACTGAAATTGTTGCTGGAGCTGTTCCAAAGTTTGGTCGTTTAGTCGTATGGCAGAGTTCCATCTCTTACCTTCCGAGGCCCCCCAGCATTGCTTTCAAGAAGGGTCAGGTGTTACTTCATGTACAATTCACAAAATCAAAGGAGAAAATGCTCAAAGGCCATGCAGAGATAGTGGCATCTAAAAATGAGCGCAAAGCTGCTTACAATGCCGGATTCATTGGAAGTGACAAGCCTGCCCCTGCTAATATCAATGTGACACAGCATTTTGTCTCTGAGCATAAGTCTACACAAGGGAAGAGAATACTTGTGTTTGATGATCTTTTTAACAAGGAAGATTTGGATAAATTACGAGCCTTCATCTTCAAACATGGCACATATTATTACGATGACAGTGATGAAGGTGATAATGATAGTGACAATGTTCAATGGATTGCGGGATTTGAGATCAATGATTACATTCAAAGCAGACTGTGGAACATCATGCAGCAGGTGGGTGAGTCATTTGTGACAACACTGACTGGTTGCTGTAAACACTGGCCAATAAGCCACGGCTTTTAACCAAAATTCTGCAATAAATAGGACAAAATTAATGTGTTCTTGTTAGTACGCAAAATTCTATTGAAAAACTGACAGGATTCAGGGCTATGCTATAGAAGTGCATGGGTGCCACAGGCAACTAACTTTTGCCTTTGGGTGACTGGAAAAACTTACTTTTTCATATATAAGCTTAAGTGCTTCAGGCACCCAGGATTTCATGGTTAGGAACCTTTGGGCTCCTCGTAATTTTTCTTAGACCACAGCCTTGGGAATATATAAAATACTGGTTCAAAAATACCAGAGAAAAGTCAAACATATGTTAACAGTAAGTTGGTAGACATGATGTCCATATGATTACAGAGCTAGTAAAAATTATAGGTGAGGGAAGTATTCTCTGTTTTCAATGACAATGGTTGACATTCAATGAAGCAATGACTGTACACTAAAGCGTCTTTCTGAAGTCTCCACATTTGATTTATTTTGATTTTTTTTCCAAAAACCTTTTTTCCCAAAATTTGAGTTCCCAGTGTTTATGGTAATTCTGTAGACTGCTAACTACTGACACTGGAATCCAGATTTCTTGAACCCTCTATTTTTTGAACCTCCCAATAACTCAAACCAACAATACGTTGAACCAAATGTTGTTTCTCTCCCCCAGTCAAACATTGTAATTTTACCCTTGATTTCTGATACTACCCAATTTTTCAAACCAATTTTCCTTTCTCTGGGAGGATTGAAAAATCGGTATTCCACAGTACCTAAGTTCTCTTAAATTCAATTTCAATGTATTGCTCAAGTGACAGTGATGAGAACATTCAGGAAAGCTACATTTATCAAGGTAAGGATTGTGTAGCATTATGACAAGTCCTGACAAAGGCTGACTGTACATTGTATGTACATAAGTTACTTGTGCACACACTTAGGATTATTTGACAGACGACTGGCATACATTGCTTTGTAGACTTTAAAACATGTCACTGGGCAGGATAAGTGGTTCCCGTATGACATCTCTTGCAACCTAATCAGAAGTGCCGACCACACCCGTATTCACCAGGATTGTGAGCCTCATGAGGATGAATGGACGTACCTCATATATCTGACACCAAACTGGACCAAGAACGACTATGGAGAAACTGCCTTCTACGAGACAATGACTAACAACAATGAGATCATCACTGAGGTCCGGCCAAAGTATGGACGGGCTGTAGTTTTCCAAGGTAAATTAGTTACTCATTTTTGTAGAATGTAACTGAGTCTCACGGGCCTGTAATGCATACAAAGGACTGCAATCAATTAGCCTTCTTCTCTCATTGTGAACCATACGGTATGCTTGCTTCAGGGCTGTGAGGGGTTGTCACGACCAGTGTTGGATCATTGCGATCCGCCAACTTGATGTCCTTGACAATTCATCTCGGATCATCACAATCTGCAACTTGTTCAGGGATAGGTCTTGACTTACCTGAAGTTCACTTCTGCTTAGCCTTTTTCGAAATGACTTCTGCTGTNTTCTCAGAACTTATCATTTGTTTTTTCTACCTTTAAAATTTCAGACGCGAACATGGAAGAATCCGAGCCGCCAGAAGAACAGGAATCAGGAAATGATCACGTTGAGAGAGAAGGAGATCAGGAAGATGAGGACGAAGAGGACGAAGGTGAACTCGGCGAGTTTGAGGAGGAGCCGAGAGAAAGCTTTCATCATGAAGAGGAACCGGACCATCCGGTATTAAATGAATTATACGCACGACTTGAAGAAGTCACCCAGAATGGAAACCTGGATCAAATGAGGAGTCTTCATGGTGAACTGCACGCGCGACATCTGATGGCAAGACAAGAAGCTGTTAAGCGAATTTCGGATCTGATTTAGAAGATTACTAACAGTTTTAACTGTTGATTCAGTAAAAATCAATCACAGGTTATAAAAAGAAACTGTCCTAGAGTATTGTATGTTAGGTTTCAATCAAAGCCCCCATAATAGAACCTATACGAATTAAACTGACAATCGAAAGGAAACGTTCACATTATACCGTAAATAAAAACTATTTCCACCCCCCTCCCTCTTTCACCTCTCCCCTTCCCTGCACAATTTGTACGTAAAACATATCGGGTTATAAGGTGACGAAGAAAGTCAGTGTTTCATGCTTGAAGCTAGTCTCCTTCACCCCTCATCCTTGTAGCGGATTAAAACACTAAGTTAAATTGAATATTGTTTAATCTCTGTACACCGCCACAGTGTTTGCTAAGACTGCACTGACTTTTCGTAATGTAACCGTTATTGAGCATAAAAGTTATGTGACAGCTGAAGACAAGAGTTTTCATTTTGCACTTGGTGAAGGAGTTCCCTCCCCCGGGAAACATTTCAAGCCACGCTCACAACAGGATCTTGGTACCCAGTCCTAGAGATTTTCTTCGAAATTTCCGACGAGCAGCCCCGTCCTTTTCATATGGGAAAAGAGTCCGCTGACCACTATGCCTGAATCGACTCCTAATCCCCAGTAACATCCTCACACGGCACCTGTTGTCAAAATAATAAACGAAGTTAAAAATTGCCGCGCAGAAAAGCCTCAAATAGGCCATTTCCGACTTGCCTTTTGCCTCTGTGTCAAAACTAGTGTTCGTGCGAAACCATTCATGTGAAAATGTGTTTCGCCTACAGGTTCATTTTCATGTACTCAAACTCATTTTTATATGAAAGGATTTTACATGAGGACTCGTTTTCAAACAGAGGCACAAGGAAACTCGGAAATGGCCTATTATCTGAGCCGGCGATCAATTTTAGGTGGCGTTGTTGCTAAGAAACAGACCATCGATGCCCAAAATTTCCGCTACATATTTTTTCAAAGGGTAAAGGACTGAGTTACGTCACGGTTTGCTTATGTTGAAAAGTTTGGCCTTTATTTTTATCAAGCTCACGGTCGATTGCAATCCTTAATAATTTCCTTTAATCTTTAACCATCCTTGTTACTTTATGGGTTATCTATCTTTGGTGTTTTTCTATCTTAGTCAACTGTTGTTTTCAGGTTTCCTTCAATATAATTGAAGGTAACTTTGCTTAGTGCAGAGAACTCAAAATGCCGCGACTGAGATCCTCCAGTTTAAGCAATGACGACGGCGACAACGAGTACGATGCCTAGTAAAAAAACAAAAACATGGAATTTTGCAATTATCCAGATCTGTATAGTCCGTCGATCGGTTTGAAAACTCACTAAATTAAATATGTAACGCCAGTGATCAAATGCAAAAGCAATTACGAAAAATTAGCCGTCGTCGCCTCCATTCTGCAAAATACGCAGAACTTGTTCATTTTACGTTGTTAGGGACTTAAGAATAACAAGACGGCAACAGCAACAAGAGTGTCCCCAAACAGTGAGCAAAGAAATGAAACTTCGACGCAAATTTGCGGCACCATGATAATTTATTAATAGGGAACAAGAGAGAAAAAGAGATCAAGGGAACAGGTATCTCCTCCCCCTTTTCCYCTCTGGAAGGCCCTCAGATTAGATCAGTMGATAAGCTCAAAAAYACGACKGGGAGAATTACATAAATCACAAGCCACGGGCGAGGTTTTACTATATGTCACAAATTGATGACCAGTGTGCTCTCTGACAATATTACTAGTATACCGACTTGTTTATTAAAAAAGTTGCTCCTGATCGCAAGGTTACCCTCCCTCACTTCACCTCAGCCCCCCTCCNCCCCCCCCCAACCTCTCTCTCTTCCATAAATCTTTTACGACGAACGTTTATATGGAAAAAGCTGTCCCTGCTGACCAAGCTAACAACTTCTCCCTTGGGAGGCTTGACGGGATCGAGGGCAGATACGCGCGTGCGGAGAGTTATTAAACACTGTGGACTAAGAGCAACTTTTCTATATATAAGCCGGCCATAGCTTCTTTATATTACTTTATGAGCTTGGAGGATTACAATTCCAGAGGCCGCAACCACTTTCGGAATATTTTAAAGTCTATTTTCCTGACTTGCACACAAGAAGTTATTTACTTTATTACTTTGCTCGGAACTCGTGCAATTTTTAACCTTTCCAACTAGTTACCAGGTGCAGCAATTTAACTGCAATTGTATCAGAAAAAAATCACAGCGTAGTTAAATTCATTTCTATCATGCAGTGAGTAAAGCATCCACCTCAGTTTATGTCAAGTGCTTGCACACTAATGAAAGACTTATGACTTTAATTACTATATTTCAATCGTCACAGTTTCTCCAGAACTGATGTTTTCCATGGTTTCTTTAGACACTAAATAATCCATTTCACGTGTCTTTCTTTCTACCATATAGCATTTGGATTTCCCCAGACAAGAGCATCCTGTAGAACCATTTCTGTGCTCTCTACACTGATGTGCACCAGAGGAGAAGTTTGTATGAGCGAACGATAATTCAAGATCGCTACAATGACGACAAGGCCTAGCACTGGCATTATCCGCTGACCTGTTATGTGTACCGTCTTCAGCATTAGGTTTGCTTGTTTCGACGTTCGCTGGGAGTCCAATTTCACTGTGGTTTTTCCTATTCTTCTCTGTCATTTCGTCAATAAGGTCTAAAATGTTCTGGAAATGGTTTCCCCCGGGTTCACGCCCCGCTTTTACTTTTGTTTGTTGAGGGATACCTCTTCTTGCTTTTGAAAAGCCGGATAACTTCGAACCCTGTTCAAACATTTGCAGCTCCTCCGGGTTGAAGTCCAGCGGTTTAATGTAAGACGTAGGACCGAATAGAATGTGAAAAGCGTTTTCGTGATCAGCGTCCTCATCTTCGAAGCCATCTGACAACCAGAAACTGTGGTTTGCACTCAAGGCAGCTACGAAGAGGAGGAACAAGCAATTTTCAAGACAGCAGTTATGATCAGTTAAATTGGCGACAGATTTTGTAGAAGTAACATTTGTCTTCCATTCACCGTTCCTTTCAAATGTGGTTAACCTTAAGCCTGTGCACAGGCAAAATTTTCTAGCTTTGGTGCAACGGTGGTCTGAAGGCGGAGTGTTGGTAGTCCATCTGGCACTCTCATTGTCACGCCACGCTACGCTTTTGGGAGAGGTACTCTCTCTATCTAGCGTTGCGTGACAGAGAAAGGGTCAGGACTGGACTACCGTGTGGGTGGCAGTAGTCTGGTTACGATCCTCTCCCTGCCTCCTTCCCCTCTCGATGAATCCGTGCTATAGAATTCAATTACACTTTTGTTTGGAACTATCCACCCTCCTGCCAGCTGAGGTTTTAAGGTAGGTTGTATTTGCTTGAATATGTTTTTCAAGTACTGAACACCCACACGATTCTAGTTCCTAACCTGTTACATTGCCTCTTATATTGCTTTTAAGGCAATATAACAGGTTAGAAATTAAAACTTCTCGCACTTATGGGCGGACGACACAGCACGTCAACTTTTCCTAAATACTTACAGTCCAGAGTGTGAGACCTTGTATGAGAAGAACTTTTCCTATTACAACACTTGACCCCAGGCCACCTTAAAGCCCGGATGTAAGCTCGCCTGTAGGGTGGCCACAAGATCCCGTATAACAAAGGATTCAAGAAACCGCTGATCAGCGGTAACTGAATCGCACACAGGCCGAAAAGTGTCGGATACTCAACCGCAAAAATACCAAGACTAACAGCCACCTGGGAAACAAAGAAAAAAAAATAAAAAGTGTTTTCAATCGGTGAAGATATCCCGTTAAGATGAAGTGAATTATTAATATTCTTGATTGTCTTCAAATGTATGAATATTTATTATGCTACCACTGTTTTATTGATCAGTTCTTCAATGTTGTCGATGAATTGCGTTTAGGCAGTTTATAAACGTTATTTTACTTTAATTTACTGAAAATATTTGCAGAACATTCTTCTTTCAGGTCCCAAATTTATTTGACAATTCTTAACTCTTGTATTAATATTACAGTTTTTGATAGACCGAGGCAACTTAACATGTAATTGAGTATTTTCTTCAATTCTAAATGAGGAGATAATTGATGCGAAGCGATTATATAAGGAAATACGGTAATTGTTACGTTCGATTAGATAATTAAAATTAAGTCTTGTAATATGTACTTCTTCGCAAAAATATACTGATTCGTCTAAGAAGTAATAACTTGAACATTCTATGTAACCTAAGAAATATTTTTACAACTGGTTGTCTGTAGTGAGCAGAAATTTGAATTAAGAATGCATAAATGTAACATACGCTCACTTACCAACCATGGTACAATAGAGCAAAAGTATATCACGACTACCAACGCCACCATTCGAGAAAGTTCCTTGGTGCTGCTGTAAACATCTCTAGCTACAATTTGCTGCTTTGAAGAAGCAAGGTCTTTGTTTGTAGAGAGCTTTGTACTGAAAGATTTCTTGCTAGACATGCTAAACATTGTGTAAAAACTAAAACAGCAGATGACCAACAGACTCAAGAGAAACAGGACGAAAAACCTCGCAAATGAATTGTTGTAAGGGAATAGGCAAAATATTTCCTGAGTGTCACTGGAAACGTGAAAACCTTCGAGCCACAGGAGGGGCCATGTCGCTATGAAAGCTGCACATATCCAAACACCAAAGAAAAATAACACGAACAACTTTCCTTTCCAATGCTTGTGATAAAAATGAGGCATAGCCGTCAAGAACACTCTGTCCAGTGCCAGAAGAGTGATAATCAAAGATTCTGCGAAGCGAAGGAACACAACTAACCAAGCTTGAACTCTGCACAAAGTAAAAAGGTCTTCGAATTCCTTGTTTTTGTCGAAGAACATGTACAAAGCGATCGCATTTGGTCCAAACATGGTTAAAACTTCTGTCAACGAGAGGGTGATGATTAGCAGACTCATCGTGTTCTTTCTTTTGGTGAATTGCAAGATGCTTACGATTGTTAACAAGTTCCCCGCGAGGATCAAGAACGAAAACACAAACAGGAAGACTATTACTACCACGTGAATCTCTGAGGTTCCACTTAGAGATGCCTGGTCTCCATTTTCGCTGTCAGTTTCCATGCTCGTGAAACAGCTTTTCAATTCTTCATTTAGTTCTTCCGGTGGAGTATCTCCTTTACACGGTCAGACAAAACAAGTTTTATGAGCTGTGAGAGCAAATATCCTGTGACCGCAAATTTGAACACAAACACATTTATATATTCAATTTTTAAGCTTTTACGTAAATCTTCGAACTCGTTAATTACGTCGAAAATACTTGAAGACGTAAAGAAATGTACTTCTTACTCAAAGATCATGACCCAGTGCTAGCAAGTTATGTGCAGTCGAAAAAGGAGATAGGAAACTCGGTTCAAAACTGAGCCTATTTCTCACAAATTTGTTGTTTTCATTTGCAATCTGCGGTGAAATACATGGAAGTATCTGATTGGCTTAAAAGCACTCTCATTGTAAAGCTGGAAAATTTTATTAATTGATAATTTGTTGCGTAGAACTCGAGAAGAATTAACACGAATACGAAAACTATTAGAACACATTCAAATGAGATCTTTTTTAACTATCTCCAAAATATAGTTGATGTATTGCCCATAGTAAAAATTCTCCGAAAAGCGTTTATACCAGAAAAGAAGGAAGCTATATATCGATCCATTGAAATTAAACATTAATACAATGTGACGTATTTTGGACCAGCGTGTTGAACATTCCACAATTTTAACACATTTGCCATCAAATTTACTGAGTTATAGATGAAACATTCTGTTTGTGGTTCGTTAGAACGTAAACAATCTGTCCTGCGCATAATATTCAAAATAAAGAAGTAATACAATCAAGTAAGCAGCGTCCACACCGCGCCGGAGAAATTTATTTCTTCAGTTAGACCTACCGTCCACACTAAAGAAAAACAGAACTTTTCAAAAAAGTTCTTCAAACTGGGGAAATGCAGTAAAAACGCGTTTTCGTGTGGACGAAAAACAATTTGAAAACACGATGGCAGCACGATAATCATATGATTTCCCCGTCCGAGTTTTCCTCAAACACAAATCCAAAATGACCGGCCGGTGATCATGAGTTTTGCGTTTTTAAATTCCTCCGGTGTAGAGTGGACGGAAAACATTTGATGCGTTTTCAGAGTGATACCTCCGTTTCCAACTTCCCTCCGGCGTAGTGTGGCCGGGGCCCCTGAGAGTAAATCTGGTCCCTTCACTTTCACCTTAAGTTTTCTCCAAGAAAACAGGCCCCTCAGTAATCCAACATCAGTTGCATAATGACTTCGCAAAACCTTCGCCTTTGAGAGCAGTCCTCAATCGTGCGTCTGTCCTCTAATAGATCATAGGCGAGAACCAATCAAAATGCGAGAATAACTTGGGT